GAGACCGCCCCATCATTTTTCTGAGCACTGAACTTGATCCAGCAGGCAGCATGGATCGCCGTAGTTATGGATCCACCTATGGTGATCACTCTAATCGGTCTACCCCTGTAGACATCGACTTCGCTCTGATGTGAACAAGACCCCTTCTTTCCTTATCACGTAACCTCGTCAAAAGCCTCTGAATACCGTTATTCACAGTGAACATGTGTAAGCTATTTATATTCGAACCGATAGGTTTCCTCCCCCCCCCTTCTTAAGCGACTTCGTCGTGCTAAAGAGACGGCATATATGACCGGTAGGTGTAATAGTGTTAAAGAGCTCTCTATTCGGATTAGAGCAGAAGTAAGACGCCTGAACGGGAGGTACGTCGAGACTGTATCTGCATCCAGTTCCTTCCCACCTCCTCTTCCTACCATGATGCAATAAACCCTGTTTCTTCGGACGAGGTTCTCCACGTTTTGAGGAGACTCAAGGCCAATAAAGCTCACGGTCCCGATGGACTAGAGCCTTATTTATTGAAAGCTTGCACTGATCAGCTTGCGACACCCATTGCTGAATTGTTCAGTACTTGTTTGTCATCCGGAACGATCCCCGATTGTTGGAGGTCGGCCCGGATCAGACCAATCCCAAAGAAAGGATCGTCAAAGTACCGTCCTGCTGCCTGCACATCTGTATTGTTGAAGGCTTTTGAAAATGTTTCGCTACACCGCATGATACCCCAGTGTAACTCCCATAATCCTTTACAATTTGCTTATAAACCCCATCTGCCCATACTTAATGCCGTTGCTTATATTGCTCATTCTGTTGCTTCCGTCTTAGACAATGGCGCTGATACCACTCGTCTAACTTTTCTTGACCATACAAACGCTTTTGGTTCTCTCGACCGAAGTGTGCTTATTGATCGTCTTTCTGAGTGTGCCTGACACCTGAAGTCTTGAATGTACTAATCAACTACTTCTCCCGCAGGACTCAGTTTACTTCACTCAGTGGTGTACAATCTTCTTCTATTGACATTGAAGCCGGTGTTTTTCAGGGTGCCATTTTGTCCCCTTTCCTGTTTTCTATTTATATACAAAATCTGCCCATTCCCACCAACTTTATTGCTTGTAAGTATGCTGATGATATAGTGATTGGTTGCCCAGTCCATATTTCAGACAGTTTTCGATCTCTCCAGGACAGTCTTAATGAACTTCACAATTGGTCTGTGACACGATCCCTTGTACTTGACATCAGTAAGTGCATTGAAGCTCCATTTAGTCTTAAAACCGGTTCCCGTTATTTTTTATTGGTCAGTGATCTCCCTGCTCTTAGAGTTAACAATCAAAACATTCCCAAATCTGTATTTGTTAAATACCTTGGTGTCACCCTTACCGATAACCTGTCCTGGTCTGCTCAAGTCATCAACGTTTCCACAAAAGTTCGAAATCTATCTTTCGATGCTTACAGGCTCAGGAAACTGACCGTACCACATAATCTAATTCTTAAATTTGTGATTGCCCGCATTCTTCCATATTGGCTATACTGCTCCCCGATTTTTATCCCTGGATTGAAAGGAAAAGACTTTACTTTGTTTTCGAGATCTCTTAAAATTTTGTCAGGCTACAGTGGAGTTGAAATCGTTGATTTCTTTATTTCCAAGCATCTTGACGCTTGAGATACAGGATAACACGTGATCAATGGCACTGTCTGCACGAAGATATTGCGAAAGCCCTGTCAAATCCCCGGACACGCTCCAAATATCAACTCCTTCCTGCGCGGATTTCCACATATCGAAACAGTGTAATTACATACCTAGCTCGTTTACTAGTAAATCGTCAGCATATTCTCACCCACCTCAGGGAAACTCTTGTCCTAATTTTTCTCTGATTTATTAAAATTTAGAATTTCCCATACCGTATTTTTTTGTTTGAAACTATTATACCTATCCACTGTAAAAATCGTAAATTGCTGAAAATTCATCTTCTGGGTGCATGAAAAGCTTTTCTTGACTGAATTGACTTGAACTTGTTTACAAATTAGAACCATCTCCTAGGGTTTTGATAACGGCAGGGAGTTTTTCGGCATCTAGCAGCTCCAACGCAAAACCGAACAGAAAGTACTGGATTTCCTTGACGATTGTTGAAGTGTTCACAGAACCACTCTCTACTTTGAAGAGCCAAACGTGAGGCGGTGTGTAAACCGGCTTAGGGCCTGCTTATTAAGAGCCCGAAAGGTGGATTTAAAATGTAAGGATTTAAAAACATGTGTGGTTGTTTGTAACGAGAGTAATCTGCCCGCTCAGCCGGAAACATCGGCTGATGATGCGAGTTACAAATGTACTGCCGGTTTACCGGAGGAATGTGCCAGTGAATCGATAGCCAATAGCGAAGAATGTGGTGCACCAAGATGGCATAAAGTGATATTCAAACCTTTATCTTCGAGCCATGTTTCGTGCGCCGGTTTTGATGGCTGTCTTTTGGCCGCCCATACGGACAAAAGGGCACAGTGAAGATTGAAATGCTGAGAGCCAATTCAAGCAAAGAGATGCGAATTTACATAGACTAATGCTGCAAAAATAATGAGTGGATGTATGAACGCCGCTGTTTGCGACACTGAGCCATATCATTCAGTGTCTCTAACCACCGGTTCCTATGGTCTCGGGGTCCCCATCCAGGGAGCTTAACGAGACCTATGTGATCCGGTTTACTGATTGCGGTTTTCATACCCTCGTGTCAAGTCTTCGTTTGGTCGCCCTTATCATTTCTCCAAACGCCATCTGCCTCGGCAAACATCGCTCGCCGTGGCAACCTATCTGCTGACATGCGCAACACATGTCCCAAACAGCGTAATCTATGAAGGTCGAAAACTTGCCTCAGTGGATGACCGCGATTACCTAGAGCTCTGTGTTTAACCTCAGCATTGCTCGTCCGGTTACCCCACCAGACTCGTGCAATTCGACGTAGACAGCGGTGTTCAAACACCGAGCCATTCGGGCTGTTTACCGCTCCCGATACCGAACGATGCCTCCGGTCGTTTGAAAAAGAGCACACATCCACGACAGTGAACTGGAACAATAAAAAACCATATATACAAAGTTGTGTATTGTCTATATTTGCTTTAAACGAGAAATAACCAAAACCGATAATCCCAACATATACAGTGTGTCTGCCTGTGTGTGTGTGTTGACAGAGTGAAAACAAGTTCGACGAAACGGTGGGAATCAAAAAATGTCGACAGAACTGGTATCCCCTATACAATCGATAAGAAGCGAGAGAGAGAGAGAGAGCCAGTGCAGATCTAAGGGCTGAGGCGGGGCGCGGGGAACAAACCTGAAACTTGAGTCAGACTGTTTTGAACGGTCTCATTGGCCTCCACCAATGACGCAAGGGGATGGTGCAGTTGGATGAGTCCGAGAAACACAGCGCTTTTGACTAAAAAGGGGAAAATAACGAAGTTGATGTGAGTGGGGGGGGGGTGAGCTGGACCGGTGAAGAGTTGTGTGCCGGAGCAGAGGCGAGAGAGGAGTGCGGGCGGGTAAAGGCAAAACAATAAACGATATTCATCATCATCATCATCATCATCATCATCATCATCATCATCATCATCATCACAGATGAGAAGAAACAAAGGATCTGATTACAACCGACCGGGACGATTTGAATAAGAAACCTTTTTGTCCGCGAAAAAGTTTTTCAGTACCGTCACCTGGCCGACTGTGGTCACAAATATAACCACAGTGACGGCTAAACTCCAATACAACACGGCTTTATTCAGATCCTCTGCAACTAGACGATCACCAAGTTCCCGATTGCGCAATTCGATCTGAGTACTTTCCGCGTGGGACAGGAACAAGTGTGCCGCCTCCAAAGTGGATTGGACCAAATTGAGAACAGTGGCATGAGACTTCTCACCAGCCTCTTCAGATAGTGATTCATACGGATCCGTTCGTAACTCGAAAAAGACCAATTTTTCCGAGAATGAGGAAAACTGATTGCCGAAACAGAATTTGTGCGTTCCGTTGACAGTGGAACTTAATTTAATGTCTTCATGCGTTCCACGTGTGACCTCATAGATAACACGCTCTGTCGGGTCAGTAATTTTCACATCAATATCCAAGTTGCCTCCGTGAATCACTTGATACATCAGAATGTACTTTTTCTGTTCTTGTAGATACTCGTAACCACAGAAAACCTCCTCGTCTGGGATTTCCACGGTGAATCGTTTTGGATAGGCCGAAACACAGGAAACACTGGCAAGTAACATCAAACATAGACACCGACAGGAAGACATGCTGCCCAAATGTACAAAACCGTTTTATTAAAAATTCTGCAAGTGAAAAAAGATAAATAAATAAAGTGATTGTGTGAAGAAAAAAATCGACTCAAACATGAGCCGCACACTAATACGAGAGATCGTATAAAAACCGTAAGTAATAACAGATGATCATCTGGTGGCTGAATCAGAAAAATGACAGTAACAGAAAGAGTGCTATAAGGATAATGGAAACCTACTAAAACAGTTCACCCGTAAATTCAAGGTCTCACAATCACCGTTGATCACGCAGCCACCTAAGTACGAGAAGCAACCAACTTCAGCTAGTTCCTGACCATCAAGTTTCAGAGCGGAACTCGGCGACACCCGGTCTTGTAGTATCATCACTTTGCACTTTGAAGGTGCCAAACATAACGACAAAACTTGAAAGTCTGTCAAGTGCTCTTTGCCCGTTCTCCATAAATTGGNTCATCAGTGCACTCCAAATCGCACAGCTTTTCTCCAGTAGTCCATTCAATACCTACATTTTGGAGACCACTTAGTGTGTTCTCCAGTATCTCGTCTATGACTTAGGTTTCCCATTTGGATAAAAGAGAAGGAAGATTGGGATGCTGCGAGCAGACTCGGAAAGAAGATAGCGAATTCGCAGAGGCTGCGGACACGTTGAGTAGATGCACGAGCACCAATGCTTGCGACCCTCAGCCAAAGCATTTAG